TATGGCATTGCCATAGCTATTCCAGTGCGTAGTGGTATCTCCTTCCCACTAGCTGGAAACAATAGTATTGTGCCTGGCCGGGTCTTTACGATCCACTGGAATATAATCCAGCATTATCTCCATTGAGCGGAGAATCATCCATCAGGGTTTGGATATGAATGTTCTGTCGAGTCTTCTGCTGCGGCGGCGGCGGCGGTTGCGACGACGGCGACGGCGGCAGCTGCTGCAGAGAATTCTCTCAACTCGTACCGGTTGAAGGAGAATCCATCAACTCCCTCTTCCCAGTAGAGTGTTCCTGATGGGTGTAACAGGCGTAACTACCAGGAACACGTGCACAGTAGTACACATGTGTTGCTCCATTGCTGCCGGTGATTGTTTCATTTGAGGGTATGAAGAGAAATTTGCTTCTCCCCTCAATGTATCCACGGGTAGCAATTCCTGGTATGCTCATCCGTGCCTCCGATGTACGGTCGGTAGAGCGCGTGATCGTGTTGTAGTAGTCCGCATCTTCCTCATTTGTTGACACCTCGTGTTGCTTGACGTTCTCCTGCATCGTCGAAGTTACGTTGGTGCTTGTAACGCTTCGGCTTCTGGTAGAATCGCCTCCAATGCATGTGCCGTAGGGTCGCTAGTGAACGAGTACTTGCCGGATTAGAGGTTAATTACTCCTCAATCTGTCAAGCATCGTGACATGCACGGAATTCTCTTCCACGCAGGTCATTAACACCTGGAATCGCGACGCATGATTGGTGTGTCGCCTCGTGAGGTCGATGTTGAGACTGCTCCAATCAATCACCTCGGATGGCTGAGATTCTTGATGAAGACGAATCGTTCAGCTCCTGTTACGAAGTAGTGTCTCGCTGGCCTTGACGAGACAGGTTCACTGCGTCGTCGTTGCGTGCGAAATCTGCTCATTCGCAGCAACTTGAACTTGGGAGCATTGCCAGAGAAAACTGCTACTTCTCTGCAATCCCATAGGTTGTCGATCAATTTGTATGAAGAAGTGTCTCGTGGATGGAAACATGTCTTCACGCAGCTCCATTGTTATTCCTGGGTGAAGATCCGCTGTGTTGATGTCGATCCATTTTTAACGAAGATGACTTCGTCAAAATAAATCGTCTCGTTATCAACACTAGTTAGAAGATTCGTCGATTGTGCAGTCGCTGGTCACGAATATTGTCTCCATCGTGATGTTTTCCCATAGTGTAGTCTCTGCTGCATTCGTGCCGTTGATTCCGCACCAATCCGACGATCCACGTTCTCCTGTCATTTTTCTGCTTGCAGCTATTACCAAGTAGGTAATATTCTGGCAGATTTCTGACTCCGCAGATGATTTATGCGCCAAATTCGTCACCAAATGAAGGAATTCGAATTTGGTTGTCCAGATGTTGTCGGCGGTGTCGAAAGCGGCTCATTTCTGGTTCTGCGCGTCAATCTCCCTTTTAGCAGTAGTCGCGCTCCATCTCGTCCGTTGAAGTAGAAGTCGATCCGACGGTCCAAACTCCAAGCGATCTGATAATACTCCTGAGTCGCGTTCAGCAGCTTTCGGTGCACGGGTCGACTCGTTTCCTGCAGCAATTTTCGGTCGTCGATGTCGGCTGTCGAACGATCGGACGCTCTGAAGAATTTCGCGGCTTCCAGGTCCCGTTCCCATTCGCGCCGAAACTCGAACTCGCTCAGCAGGATTTCGTTTTCGCCTCGGTCGATCTGAAGCGTCGAATCCCCATCGGACGGATGTCGTTGGTCGCAGCTGTGCAGATTTCCGCGCAACTCTGAGTGTCGTGGCGAGTTGCGAACTTCTCCGAATGTCGCAGGGAGTGTTCCGCCGGAACTGACGCACGCGCCAGGTCGAGGCCGTTTGCCCCCGCGAAAAATCGGCACCGTCGATGCAGTCCATCGAACGGTTGGCGAGGCATCTCGCCTTCGAAGGGGACCCCAGGTGCAACTGCGAGAGGAAAGTCGAAACTTAAATGAAAGTGCATTGTACTTACAGGAATTGAAGTTTCGACTCCATCCTCCGCGCGCTCCTGGGGGCCCAGCGGTTAAGCGTTGAGCTGAACCCTTGGCTCTGATTACCAAGTGTCACAGGATCGAATGTGTCGAGGAAAAGTTTGCTCAATGTTGCACTATCAATCAGTACAAGGTGCTTTTATACTTCCAGAATACATCAGGTAACCAGGTTTATCCTATCCAAAGGGAATAGACCCTTCTAGAAATAGAATCACCCTGCGTATAGCCACGCGAGGCTATTGGCTTTAAGGGATTACGGCAGGATTACGCTAGATATAGCGCGCCAGTACATCCCGAGCCTGGTCGGTGATATAATCATAATAATAGGATAAACCAAAGGATAATGGAAAAGGAGGAATAGGAAACCAAATGAGATGAGATAAAGACCAAATGAATGAGGATAAAAAGAGGAATGAAATAGAAAGGAAATATGGAAAGGGGAAAATAGTGTAACGGGGTCGTACTCTCACATCCAGGGTGAAGGAGAGCGCGGCAGCGGCGACAGAGGTCAGAGGAGCGAGAGAGGATCCTAGGCTAAACAAGGCAGGGGATCCTACGCCTGACGCAGCAGGGGAGCCTGAACTACGCACAATGGGCACACCTACTCTAGGCAACACAGGGTAATAGGAACCAGTCATTCTAGAGTCATCAACATACAGCGCATACAAAGCAGAGCTAATCTCATCCATCTCCATATCAAAGATCTGAACACGACGACGGAGCAGACTGTGCCAGTCGGGGAGGTCAGGCGACAGGCCGAAGCGAAGACGAAATAGGTCGTCTAGGCAACGAAAGCAACGAGCGGGGGTATCACGGATCTTACCGCACACGAGGCCACGGCGAGAACCGGTCTGGAGCTGGTACTGGCAGTGCCCGTCACTCTGACTACCAACCGACAACACACCGCGCAAGCGACCACCACGACGACCGTCACCTCCAGCTCCAGGCCACCCGGGCGGGAGACGGCCAACCCTCCGCTGCTGCTGCTGGTCCAGCTGCGGAGCCTGCTGCTGCTGCTGGGACTACTGCTCTGGGGCACCAGCCTCAGCCCCCTTGCCAGTACTACCAGCGGGCGAGCCACCTCCACCACCGGCACCACCCTCTCCTCCGCTACCTCCGCCGCGCCCAGCCTTGGGGCGGCGACCCTTACCCGGACGAAACTGCAGTGCGGCGGCTGTCTCCACAGCCGGAGCTGTCTCAGCAACAGCAGCAGAACCGTCGGAGTAAGAGCACTGAGCAGGGGCACAGCCCTAAAAGATAGAGACTTGCACGGTACCGCTAGACTGGGCGATAGAGCACTGACGTGTCTCTATGGCAGACAGGGTGTCGACAAAGTCAGTGAGGGTAAGGTCAGCGGGGTGGAGACCAAGGAAGTGATCGCGGGCGGTGGCAAGGCAGTCAGGGAGGCGAGTGGCAAGGAGGTAGAGGGTAGAGCATATGGGGGGCTGAAACACACGAAGCTGAGCCTCAGTGCAGGCAGCGCGCCAGGTCGTGTCTAGCGTGCGCAGGTGGGCGGCTAGGTCAGCGACATTGGGGAATGACGCAAGGTCAGGAAAGAGCATGGGCAGGATCAGGCGACCGACGGAGGCAAAGGGCGGGGTGGAATAGCGCGCAAAAACAGCCTTTAGGAACTCCTGCGCAGTCCTGATAGACCAAAAGCATGGGCGCTCGGATAGGGGAAGGGCATGACTAATCGCAAGCTGTGCGACAGCGATACGCGACAACCAGACAACACGGGCAAGGGCAGCAGTTGCAGCGGACTCACGGTCAGCAGAAGTGGGGTCAGTGGGGAGGGCAGCAGGGGGGTCCGGGCAGGAGAGTGTACCGTCGATGTGGACGGCCAGGGAGTGGGCGTCCTGCCGCTGACCAGTCAGGTGTCGCTGGAGGACGACGAGCCACGAGTCGAACTCAATCGGCTGCCCCTCAGCATCAAAACGCAGGACCGAGTCCGCCATCATGGTTGCAGCAGCAGGAGAAAGACAGTACAGAGCAGGAGAGCGCGACGGAAAGCGGTGCGGTATTGTGTGGTGGAGGGAGGTGCAGTACGGTAGGGTGCAGTGCGGTGTGGTGCAGTGCAGTGCAGGGCGGTGCAGTGCGGTGCAGAGCGTTGTAGTGCGGTGCCGTGCCGTGCAATGCGGTGCAGAGCGGTGCCGGGCGGTGCAGCGCGGTGCCGGGCGGTGCAGGGCTGTGCAGAGGAGCCGAGGACGGCGGCGAGGCGTCTAGAAGACGGGGCCGCGGGCGGCAAGGCGACGGGGCCGGCAAAGAGGCGGGGCCGGCTGGGCGACGAGGCGGGCTAGGAGGCGAGGCCGGCTGGGAGGTGGGGCCGCGAGGTGACAAGGCCGCGGGGCCGCTAAGGACGGGGCCGCGGGGTCGCTAGGGGACGGGGCCGCGGGGCCGCTAGGTGACGGAGCCGCGGGGCCGCTAGGTGACGGGGCCGCGGGGCCGCTAGTGGACGGGGCCGCGGGGCCACTAGGGACGGGGAGGCGGGGCCGCTCTGGGACAGGGCCGCGGGGCCGCTAGGTAACGGGGCTGCGGGGCCGCTGGGCCGCTAGGGGACGGGGACGCACGGCCGCTAGGTGTCGGGGCCGCGGGGCCGCGAGGTGACGGGGCCGCGGGGCCGCTAGGGGACGGGGCCGCGGGGCCGCTAGGGGACGGAGCCGCGGGGCCGCTAGGGGACGAGGCCGCGGGGCCGCGGGGCCGCTAGGGACGGGGCGGCGGGGCCGCTCGGGACGGGGCCGCGGTGTCACTAGGGGACGGGCCCGCGGGGCCGCTAGGTGACGGGGCCGCGGGTCCACTTGGGGACGGGTCCGCGGGGCGACGAGGTGGCTAGGACCTAGGGTGGAAGTGCTGGGTGGGGGGGGGGGGGGGGGGGGTGGGGGGACCTACCTACTCATGATACCGTGTTCAAGTGAAATAATGCCTAGAACAAGGCATACAAGGGAATTTAACCTAATGGGTTTTACTCCCTAAGGCACAACCCTATATAATCTACAGAAACATACAATATATGTTAGACAGGTACAACCAGTAGGTTCGGAGCAGCTCAAGCCTTGCAACACAATTGTCAGCTAGCGTTGCCTTGCCTCCTCACTTCCGTACAATGGCTACACAATGGACGACCATTGGTAGGAGCACATGGAGGAAACAACAAATCATGCATGGTGCATGCCTTATGTGGCTGGAAATGGGAGAACCAGGTCAGAACAGCCTATTTCACTTCACAGCATACTTCAGGAATATAAAGTGTTCAACTCCTCTGTGACATGTACAGGCCGGGTGAAAACGAGTGAAGTGGCCGCCGATCGCGTTTCTGTTGAGTCGCTGTCCAGTGGATTTGGTAAACCCCGATTGTGCAGTGAACCAGGAGCAGCTTGAGGAGTGGAAACTGGGGAAACAGGCAACACGCGAGGGCTCTTGCGAGGGCTCTTGGAGGATGGCGCCGATACCATCCTCACAGGTGGTGCAGGAGGTGGGGTTCTAGAAGCCCCGCTGGGAATTGCACGTGGTAGCACGGACGACGGAGTGGTAACCGCGGCAGATCGTGGTAACAGCGGAAGCGGAGTGGAGGGGGCGGAGAGCACTCTGGGAGAGAACCAGTCCATCACCCATGTGGACCCGTGCCCTGGGGACGTCAGACTCATCACAAACGGCTTCTGCGCTGCTATGATGGGCCCATCAGCAGCAGCACTGCCATCTCTCATGCAGTCGCTCATGCCCTCCCTCATGCCTGCTCCTTCCCTGGCGGCCACAGCCCTTCTTGCACCTTCTCCAGCACTCCCCCCATCACAGCTCCCCACTGCGCCCCTCTCGCCTGCCCCAAACATGCCTCCACCACCACTATTGCCTGCTGAAAAACTCCCTGCTTGCAGACCACCAGCCCGCCCAGTGCTGCGCCCAGCACTCACGCTACAATCTCTGTGCCTCTCGCTTGCACTGGCTGTGCCCCGCGCCCAGCCACCGCCTGCACTCCTCGCGCCAGTGGTCCTGGGCCCCACGTCCAGCCCTCCGCCGCGCTCGCCCATCACAGCAGCACCCGAGGGGCGAGACACCTGCAGCCGCAGCGACTTGAACTGGGCTAAGCGCTGAGGCTCCGACTGCAAGCCGCTGCCGCTGCCGCTGCTGCTGCCGCCACCGCTGCTGCTGCTGCCGTTGGTAGAAGAGCTCCGCATACTGCTGCTTCTGAAGCTGGCCTTGCTGCCTCTCACTCCACCACCACTGAAACCGCCGCCACTGCCGAAGCTGCCGCCGCCGCTGCTGCTGCTGCTGCCGCCCTCACTCCGGTTACCCCAGCTCTCACTCACGCTGCTCCTGCTCCGAGTCATCCCACCGGGACTTACCCCACCACCGGTTGTGCCTGCACTAGTAGCCACCGCAGCAGGAGTGTCCCCGTCACCCCCTCTCGTCGCCTCCTCTAGTGTACCGGAAGACACCACTGCTGGCAACAGCAGCCCGCTGAACGCACGTCGCCCCACCAACAACCCGTTCCCGATCCCGTTCCCGTTCCTGTCCCCCCCACCACCGCCGCCGCCGCCGCTCCAGCTGTCACCACCGCTGGGCCGATGCACACGGTCAGTAGTTAATGCATGATCTCTTGCCGTTTCGCTACTACCACCGGACACTGCAGCACCAGGAGCAGCAGCAGCACCAGCCGCACCGGGCGCACCAGGCGCACTGCTCGCGCCGATGAACTCCGCCATTTGGCTCGCCCAGTCGCTCGTGAAGGCGGCGCCCGCGCCGTCGCCGGAGCCAGCGGACTCAGCGACAGCTTCTTTCCTGCCACGCTCTCCGTGACCGTGACCGTGGCCCTTGGTCGTGCCGCTACCTGCGCTGGCGGCATGAGCGGTGATACTACTAGTAGTAGTTGTCGTAGTGGTCGCGGACTGGAAGCTGCACAGGTCGTCGCCACGGCGAGAATCACTGGGACCGTCAACTCGAAAGCCCCGCTGCCTGGCGTTTCCTCCCGCCCCGGCCGGGTTCTCTTTCGGCGAGAGGAAGTCTACAAGCGACCAGGGACCCGATCCCTCTAAGAAGCTTCCGCCACTGCCGCCGCCATCGCGGAAGCGGCCTCCGCCTCCTTCGCGCCCGCCGCCGTCCCCGCTGCTCCTGCCGCCGGCGCTGCTGTCGTCGCAGGCTGCTAGGAACGTGGCTACTCCGCGGTCCGCCGCCGCGCGGACGTCGCAGCTCCGCGCGAGGCGCGGGCGGGGCAGGGCCGTGAGCGCGCGGACGAGCTTCCGCGAGGAGGCGGAGATTAGGCCGCGCGGAGAGATGAGGGGCGCGGCGGAAGCCAGGGACGCCGCGGGGCCTGCGGGAGCTGCGACGGGGTCGTCGTCGGCGGTGACATGACCGACGCTGCTCCGCGTGCGACGAAGAGAGGAGGAGGAGGAGAATGATGATGAAGACTCCGTGCTGGAAACAACGGTGGATGTACTAGTGGCAGGCGCATTAGTGCCACTCGGACTGCGACTCAGATTGGAAGCAGCGCGTTCGCTGTGGCTGCCGCAACCTCCGGCGGCGGGCGCGGCTTCGCCAGTGAGCAGCGACGGAGGTGGACTCCGCGTCGCGGGCGGCGCCGCTAAGCTTACGCCCACTCCGAATGGAATCGAGTCGCCCCCTGACGGCATGGACGACGCTCGGAACAACCGCGACGCGGCGGTGAGCCATACGTGATTGGACGCCGTCGCGCCAAGGCCTCGCGCCTCGTCGCCCGAACCGCGTTGAGAATCTGCGGGCGCGGCGGCGGCGGCGGCGGCGGGTTTACGGGATGCGAGGGGAGCGAAGCAGCCGGCAGCAGCGGTTGGGGAGATCGCACGCATGACATCCTCGTCAGCCTCCCATCCCGAGTCGCGCGCGGTTTCCGCGACGTCTGGCGGATCATGATGCCGCGTCGCCTTGTTCATCATTGGATCGTTGATCGCCGCCGCGCCGCGCCCCAAAAAGGCGGCGGCTTGTGGATGCTCCGGATTCCTTCGCGCTTCGGCAATCCATTCGAACCGCGAGGAGCGTGACGAAGTTTCAGCGAAGGTAGCTGAGGCTGCGCGCGAAAGAGGCGCGGCGCGGAACAGCGCGTACGTTCCGCCCGGCTGCAGAAACTGCTCCCGCGGAAGAGCCGCGGGATCCGCCGACTTCCCGGGAGGTTTGGGCGCGGGGAAGGCGGGGAAAATGAGGCCGGCGGAAGTATCCGTAGGGGGGGACGAGACAAGGGGTCCGCTGGTGTGATACCCGTTAACTGCATATGCGCCGGTTGCCGCTGTTGTGGGGGCAGCGGCACTACCAGTGGCGGTTAGCTGGTTGAGGGACGTGAGGGAATGGCGCGGGAAGCCTCTTAGAACGTCTGCTACCTGCAGCAGTGGCTCGTGATACAAACGAATCGAGCCATCTGGGAGCAGGACTATAACGGGGTTCGAAAACTCTTGTGCTAGCATGGCTGCCGATTTTTTTGTAGGAGGTACTAGACGAGGCCAGTCTCCTATCCTTTCACAAATGAATGAGGCGACTACGCAGCTGACAGAAATGTCATCGTCGCCCAGTATGCTGTCTGCCAGGTCTGTACAGTCGACGCTCACCCAACCTCGTACGCAGCGTCTATCCTAATCAGAATCACTTCCCAAAACCTCGGATTTAGGGGCAATGGGATAACGCACACAATCACATCTACTCCCCACAACTACGAGTCATATTCCCTGAGCACCCGGGGGGCGACGCGGGAGATTTCCCTTTTAACGAATACTGGCCGTACGATAGGGGCAACGTGGACTATGGGGTTTCCCCGGGAAATGGGACGTTGTTTTTTGTGTACTGTAGATGGACGGCTTGACTGGCGTATGCAGCAACTGAGTAAACATCGCCACGTCGCAAGCCTCTCCACCTGTGTATCAACTTCGCGTTTCAAGAAAATGTCAGATTCCTTGGCGCGTTCCTATTGGTTGTGGGTGGACGGATTTTCCTGGGGCAACACCGACAGATTCCGTTGACGTTGCAGGCGTAATTCTACTGAACCGTCAGCGAGCTTGTCGTATCTAGCGCATCAGGTGGATTTTTGCCTCGACATTGGTTGGCGAGCCTGACACATCTGGATTTTTAGAGGCTCGTCGACCACTAGGTGTGGTCGCTCTGAAAACACAAAAGAAAACTGACTGGACGGCCTTGGATCAACCGAATTGACTGTCTAATATACTATTCGGTTGAGACGGGTACACTTTGCGTACAAGGAGTGGCCCTTAAGGATAAAATGCATATGGAATACTCCTGGGCGTAAAAGGGGGTCGTCTACAAGGCATATGACATGTACCGAATCCACCACACGTTGATGGAGGGCGGAACAAAACGACAGCACAATTGCCCGTTGGGACCGCTGCTTATTGACCAGATACAAATATCTTGTTACAGATTCCACGTTTCTGTCCCATTTGCCCATAACGAAGCATGCGAAATGACGAGCTCGACATTGCCTCCGCGATTCGGGAAGTTTGTACAGACGAATCTCGTCAGAGTCGCACAAGATTTGAGGGTGCCAAAAATTCAATCGAACAGTTATTTTGCATTCCCTCGTCACGGGCAAATGAGGCTTTCGTACGAGCACACGACGAAATGGGTGGATATTTATGGGGGGGCTTGTGTGGCAATGTTTGTTGCCAGTGTGCGATTCTTGTGAAGCGATCAGGCGACGGCGGTGCACAGTTCCATGGCGACGAAACCTCGTCGGCAACGAATTGTCCCTTGCTATATGTTGGTCTCAGACGCAATCATGAGTGACTGAAACGGATCTCCCATTGCCCGTATATCGAAGGTTTTGGGAAACGATTCTGATTGGGCGCCAGGTTGAGCTGCAATAAGGTTGGGCATCAACTGTATGACTCTCTCGCTCTTCGACTGGACTGTACTGGGGGTAAAACGGTATGAAGGCTGGAGGGGGTCTAATCTGTGTGTGTTGAGTGATGCCACCCGACCCGACCCGACGAAGTGAACCCTCGACGTTCCAACCGTCGCGAGGCAGCAGAACAGGGCTTATGCTAACAGGGGAAATGCCCGTTTTTGACTGATTTTTAGAGCAAATATTAGCTGGACTCTGTAACACAAAGGGTCCGGTGAAAATCCTTTCGTATATTCAAGGCTGTCTTGGGCATCACCCTTTCAGTACGGAAAGTTTTCATAGGTACCCGTTTTTTTAAACTCTACCATCCCCCCTCCCCATCCCCCTCCCCGCCCTCCACCCTTCCTCTCCCCCCCCCCCCCCCCCCCACCTCGGTTTGTCGTTTCACAATCATTTTCCATCAAATTTGTCCCAATCTGTGGTAGTTTCCCCCATACCTCTCCCTCCCCCCTCTCCCCCTCGTCTTACTGCTGCGTATTCATAAAGAAAGCAATTTTTCCTACCTCGAAAGTTTGAGGCAAAGTTTGTCTAGGTTTTTATGCCAGCAGTAAGGCAGAATGTTACGCCTTGAGCATTCGTTTCCCGTGTGGTAGTTGGATGCCTTACTTTATGGTAGATCCTCCTTTTGCCTCAGGGGTCGTGCATTTTCTGTATGCCAGGGGAGGTTTGGCCGAGCCCTACGAGTGGTTTTTATAGAAGCTCTTTGTTTTAAGGGAATAATGTTTATGAGCCGTTTGTTTAAGGGTGGTTTTCGAGGGCCCCACTTTCTGTCCGAGCGCCCCAAAAACCTAGCATCAGCCCTGCAGCAGAACCCCCCAGAACTCAATTTCTACTGTACACAACTGCATGGTATAAGGCCCCGTCCAGTCCAGAGTGCCTAGAGACAAAACAACTGCCGGGGAACCGAGCTGTAAATTTTATGTAACTCTTTGATAGCTTAAAGCACCGTGCTAAACCTACGACAAAAGTCATCGGACCCTGTTAACATCCCCCACTTTGGAACCTCAGTGCAGTGTGCATCTGTACTGTCGTGGAATACAGACACTTTCGTGGCCGTGTTGTCCATTCTGCACGACGCGCCGCGATGTTTTTGACCAAAGTGTTACAGTGTCAAGATGTTCTTGTACAGTACGTGGTCCCAGCCCAGTGTATTTCTCGTCTGGTGCAGAACCTGGCAGCAGGCAGCTGCAAATGCTACACAATCGTTTTGGCCAACTATCTTAAATGGAGTACACTCCCGCATTGCTGAAACAAAGAACAACCGCGAGGGTATCCTCAGGATGAATTCCGCAACGAGTATTAGACCCGAGTGTTTAGCGGGAAGATCCGAGGCAAGAAAAAAAAATGCCTCGGGTCTTGCGAAAAACTGACGGGCTGAGACAGTCTTTCATGCAGCGGCCGGCGGACCTGCAGCTAAAGAGTCAGTTGCAAGCGAAGGAGATGCTTCTCTAGGCGTACTACGACAACTAAGCTGATAGAATAAGGCTGCACACGGGGATTGCAGGGGAACTAAGTGGGGAGATTCCGTCGAAGTACCTTTCGGCGAATGCGAAAGCCAGTAAAGCTCAGACAGTGATCACTGAGGTGCAATACAAAGGAAAGGCTTATACGGGCACGAAGGAAGTACTGGAGGCGGCGGCGGGGTACTTAACAGAGGTGTTTGGAGAGAAGTAGAAGCAGCAGGGGACGCCGATGTGGGAGCTGAAGCCTGGAAGGCAGCTCTCAGAAGAAGATTCAGCGCAGCTGTGTGAGCCATAGAGCGAGAAGAACGTACGACTGGCTCTCGCGGAGATGGCGAAGAACAAGTTCCCGGGAGCAGACGGTTTGCCGAAGGAACTCCTGGAGTCACACTAGGACCTGCTGGGGGAACATGTTATGGGGCTGATCAGGAGTTTCATGCAGTCGGCGGAAATGTCATCCGAGGCCATGACGGGTGTAACGGTGTTACTGCACAAGAAAGGCCCGACGGACGAGTTGCAGATTTACCGCCCAATCTCTCTACTCAACACATCGTATAAGGTGATTGAGAGAGTAATGGCGAACAGAGTAAAGGGCTTGCTGCATAAGGTTATCTCGGAAGGACAACACGGGTTCTTACCAAGGGCGGCGTTTGGCGGATACTGTGGCTGTGGTTGGTGATGCCATTGACGCAGCGAAGAACGGCAAGGAGAATTGGCTCCTGTTACTAGTGGACTTTCATAAGGCGTATGATACGGTCGCCAGACCATATTTGTTCGAAGTCCTGAGGAAGATGGGCTTCCCTGATACTTACGTCCGATGGGTAGAGGGACTACACCGAGGGGTGGCGATGAGAGTGTGTACGAATGGGTGGATGTGAGAGGAGATTGCAGTGCGAGTGGGGGTTCGACAAGGCTGCCCGTTGGACCTTACCTCTTTGTGTTGTGGAGCCGTTATGTTAGGAGGTAAAACGGAGGAAGATAGGCATTGGTGCCAAGGGGGAGGACATGTTAGCGTATCTCAGATATGCATATGGTACCACCTTTCTGCTCCGAGGGAAGTATCAATTGGAGCAGGCGGTGGAGGTCCTGCAGGAATTCGGGCAAATGTCTGGGCTGAAGACAAATTACGACAAGTCAGTGGTCATTCCTCTCGGGGCGAACGTAAACCTTCTGGAGGAACCCGAGCATTTACGAGGGGTCTGGATCACCCCGGATGGGTCGGCGGAGCCCTCTTGGAAAAAGGCATTGGAGAGGATGGGAGGACCAACCCTCGCAATTCCTGCTCCCCAACACCCCCCCTCCCCCCCCACCCCTTCCCCCCACCTCCCCCTTCGCAATTCCGTTTCCCCCCAACCCCCGCTATCTTATTCCCCCCCCACGCAATTCCTTTCCCACCGTTTATCTCCCCTAAACGAAGGTCCCCCCCATTTCGCGCCAGTTTTCTCCTCTCGCCTCTCGCCCTCCAATCATATACGTCCCCTTTTCTTGACCTCCGCATTGCCACCCTAAGTCGTATTGAATGTGTACCGCGGCTTTAAGTCCTGCACTTGCGCATCTCCCTCTGTTCACCCTCTGGTTGCATACGTGCCTATTGAGTTTAGGAAACTGGAGACTAAGTACTTGACGACAACGGCGAGGGTTGCGATAGTGAACAGCCATCTGATGTCGATAGCGTTCTTTCAAGCACAGGTCTATCCTCCGCCGGAGGGGATCTGGACTAAGGTGCGGCAGCTGTACCACAACTATGTATCGGGAGGGAGAGCAAGTGTTGAGAAATGCTTCATCTTGTGGAGTCAAAAGCTGATGTGTTGCATGCGGAAGGAAGGGGGTTTGGGGGTGGTGGACCCCAAAGCAAGAGTGGAGGCCTTGGCATTGAGGACAGTGAGAGCGTTACTCAGTGGAAAAGTTAAGCGGAAGATATGGCTCACGGAGAGGGCGGCTAATCTTCCGCAAAGCTACTCAACCTTTCTCGCGCATCCGGCGTTGCTGAAGTACTAGGAGTATGGGGGGGGGGGGGAGATGGAAGGCAACAACGGAATTTTTCATGAGATCCCCAATGTTAGAAATTCCGACAGCGGCAAATCGATGGGAAGTGGAAGGGGAGCAGGTGGCCTTCAACAAGCGCATTCTCTATAGGGG